AGAAACTGAAACGGGCTGGGCTCTTGGTCATATGCTGAGACGTGCAGAAAGTGGGAAAATGGTACAAATGCTAAACCAGATGAGCTTTGCAGTCTCATTATTATCATCTTTATGGAGAAAGCTGTCAGTGGTAAGGATGACCCACGCCAATTCTTGTGTAATTAGCCCCATACACTTACCTGGTATTTAGCGATGTTTGGCTTGAGCTGTGAGTTCTTGTGTATAACAGGCAGTTTCTGATGAGAACATGGAATTTAGATATCCGAGTGAGTATGTTGTGGTTTAACCTAATCACTTAAAATCTTTTCATGTTCCTTTAGCTTCTGTCTTAAAGGTCATTGAAATCTAGACCTGGGATGCCCTTTTTAGCCTTTGCACAGCATCAGTTAGTGTTCTATTTTTGAGCACCTGCTGGTATTGGATATGGGGGAAGCTCCTTTGGAAAGGTTTTGTAGTATTTGTGGTTTATTTCCCACTTTATCACTTGGCAGTAGTTCATACTTTCCCGTTTTTTTTAGGGAGATTGCTGTGGCTTGAGCTATTGCTGCTGAGTGTTCCCCTGCTGTACCTAACCTCAAAATTACTTTTGCTGCCTCCTTGGATTCTTCCACTTCCAGTGGAGGACAGTAGACCTTCTGGCTTAACCTGAGCACAATCCTAAGAGCTCCTCAGCCCAGAGCTCCACAGTGGCACAGATCACCCTTGACCGAAGCCAAGCACGTCACCTGGGACTTGGTCCTGCATTGAGCTGTGCATAAATTGATTCTCCCTGCCCTCCTGTTGAAGTGGGCTTGGTATAGGCTTGGGGTCTCTCATTTATGCCTTGGTTTCTTTGTCTTTTTACAAAGCAATGCTTTTTTTCTTGAAAAGGTAGGGGAACTCCTTTGGCTGTAAGAGTGTTCATATGCATCTGCTGAGTATTACCCATCTGTGTATAATTCTGATACGTCTGTCAGTTCTGCATCTAACGGCTCCTGTCCAAGGAGGTTCTGCAGTTCAGGTGGTCAGTGGGATGTGCGATTAACCTGCTGTGTCTGGCTCTTTCAGAACAGGGCAGTCGGACGGCCCAAAGGGAAACTGGGCACTGCTTCTGCGGTGAAGCTCGCAGCTAATCGGACAACCGCTGGGGCACGGCGGAGGAGGACGCGATGCCGCAAGTGCGAGGCGTGTCTGCGGACAGAGTGCGGCGAGTGTCACTTCTGCAAAGACATGAAGAAATTTGGGGGACCTGGCAGGATGAAACAGTCCTGTATTATGAGGCAGTGTATCGCAGTAAGTGTACCTGTTGCTACAGCTCGCTTGGAGATTTCTTTCCTATATCTATGTCTCCTGGTGACGAGGTGTGGAACTGAGAATTCCTCTCTGAGTAGTCTCTAAAGTGCATCAGGCAAAACAGCGTAATCCCTGCCCTCTCAGTTCAGATCTCTTTTCCCATTGCTTTTTACCCTCCCCAAATCTTAAACCAGAATGCTACTAAGACTCAATAGCACAGCTTTCGTTCTTAGTAATACAGGCGTGGAGACTATCAGTATGCTGGAAACTGGCACTCAAATCACACTGAAATTCTGGGATTTGGGGGAGAGAGGAAAAGTGGGAAGTTGAATTCAAAGGGAGGAAAGGTGTGTTTGGTTTGGTTCTCTGAATTTCCTGAGAAAACTGCCTTGCAACCATCTTTGCCATCTCAACTACTTAGCCAAATTCAGCTATGGAGAAGTCTTTAACTGGCATCCTCCAAGACTTTGGCGTTGGTGACCCCAGCCCCAGGCTGCTTGAGATCTGAATTTCAATTTCTTTGCTGTTACCTGGGCGTATAGGGGAGGGTCTGATCCAGATGAGCCAGGGAGCCTTGTCTTCCTCAGGAACTAGAAATGGCTTTCGGAGATGAGCATCAGAATGGGACAAGCAGGCAAAGATGATTTCCTGGGCTTCTGTGATACATTGCTTTTAGAAGCCTCGTGAGTCATAAGTGATAGCTTTGTATTTAACAAGTATTGACAGATTAATCTTCCATTCAGTTGTCGAAGCAGCTTTTGAATCCGTTGCTTTCATACTGCCTGTGGCAGAGCTTCTCCTCAGGTTTCATGTCCGCAGTGCCCCCATTCAAGGGTAAAAATTAGCTTTAGCTTTTATCTTAATTCTCTGGAAGACCTTGTTTATGTTGTTGTTAAGGGTTTGGTTTTCTGTTTGTTTTTTGTTGTTTTGTTTTTGTTTTTTTTTTTTTTTAAGGAAAGGAATGTTGTTTATTCATAACTGAAGTATCACCCCATCTATACTGATTTTTCTCTTAACTCTTGTTACAGTTCCTCCTCTTAGTTTTTTGGTTTGTTTTGGTGGGTTTTTTTTTGTTAATTCTGATGAGGAAACTGAAGTGGAGGCATTAAATAACTTGATCTGACACTGATAAAAAAACTGATAAGCACTGAAGGTTTCCAGTAGTTGCTCCTGGTAGCTCACTCCATGTCCTGTTCTAAGCCATGCACTGTTCTTGACATAGAAGATTGGATTCAGCTCTGCTGGATCTTTCAGTAAAGTACACAGAATATCTACCTTTCCGCAGAGTGCTTTTGCAGCTCAAGTGTCTTTTCTTTGAACGCTTGATTTCCTGGAGTGTGGCATGAATTCAACAGCATGGATGAAGAAGTTATTATTCTCCAGGGGGAAGAAATAGTGAAATCGTGCTGCCTTTTTAGTGGAGGGATTACATTAGGGCTGCAGTGTGCTTTCTTGTCCTGACTGATGAAGGAAACTGTTATACTAAGCCCTTTCAGTCTTGATAACGCAGGCTGAGCCTTCTGGAGATGAACTGGGTTCTCTTCTGGCTGAGTGTAGTCATCCTCTCATTCCCTCTCTTCTAATGAAGAAGTATTTTTCTTCTGAGTATCTGCAGTTTTGTTTCCCGAATCTGTGGTAGAGCGCAGGGCTTGGTGGCCAGGGTACTCTGATTCCTCATCCTACCCTTGCACGCACTCAGGAGGACATCTCTGCCCTTCGTGTGTTCCCATCGGTGTCAATAGCAGGGGGAGTATTACAGACTTTCTTAGAGCAGCAAAAGCGTAGAAAATTTGCAGGTTGAACTGTTGTGATTTTTAAGGGTGCTTCACATTTCTGTAAGCAATCCTATTGCCTTTACTCTTGTTCGTTATGTTCTGTAACAATTGCGGTAGTAATGTATTGTGGTACCTATCCAACAGCTTCCAGCCAAAAAAAAAGCCCGAAACACTGAATCAAGGCTCTGTGGAAGTAATGATCCCTACAGTTCTGGGATTGCGCTTTCCTCTGGTTAATAACATCGACAATATTAACTAGACACAGGCTTTCATTAAATTCAGAAGCCTTAGGAGAGCCTGTACTGCCATTCAGAGAACAGGCACCTCCTCTGCATCGCTAGTTCAATCAGGAAAGGGAACAGGAGTGCCTGGGACACCTTATGCTGCATTGAATAGGTTGGAAGGGAGTGTGGGGCTGTGTGCTGGGAGGACAAGGCATGGCTGCTCTTCCAGCCCATCAGTGGGACGGAGCTGGTTGGGGCACAGAGGAGATTTCCTTAGACACCCTTGCCCCCAGCAAGAAAAACTTTACTGCTCCTGGGATGTCTGATCTTGTGCGTGGATGTAAATACTTGTTGTGGGGCAGATCGGACAAAACAAGTGGACAGAGCTCTTGCAGCTCTGGAGAGAAGCCAAGGGCTTTTCTCTGGTTTACCTGCTGCTGGAATGGGATCCTGGGGATTCCTATTTTGTGCTTGGAGGAAGGGTGGGAATTAAATAGCATTTGCAAAATGCTTTTAAAATGGAGCGTGGGTAAGTACTGGCGTGAGAAAGCACGAAAGTGTTGCCGTAGCTAATGTATCAGACGTTGGTGTGTGGGGCAGCACACGGTGGTCTGTCATGGCTTGCTACAGGTTTTTCCCTGCTGGGAACTTGCTGAAGGATGCGCTGTTACTGCGTAGATTTGGTTTGGTGTGCAAGTGTCTGCTGACAGATTTTATTCACTCCATCTACGAGAGATCCTTGCCGTGAAAAGCCACATCTCTGCCCTTGGCTGCTTAAGGACTTGCAACCTAATGGACTGCATTTCGTATTACAGCCAGCTTCTTGTGAGGGTCTTCCTTTTCTTTCTTGTAATGAGACTTATACCTGATTGCCTCAAACCAGAAGTTTGTTGCTCATTAGCACAAAGGTGGCTTTTTAGTTAGACTGGCATTCAGTTCTTTGACATGGGTGACAGAAATGTGAGATGCTGCAGTTCCCTTTCTGCCTCAGCAAAAGACAGGAAAAAAAATCAGCGTGCTTCTCACTGGTGACACTTGCAGGAGAGGAATTTTCTTTTTAAGTGTCTGTGCAGTGTTCTTTGCAATGCCCAGGTTGGGAGCAGGGCCCTAGATAATAAACTGTCAGTCAGGAAAAGGTCTGTTCTTGGTTCTGTTGTGGGCTTGCTGTGAGACCTGGATTGGGTCCCATAACATCTGTCTGCCCTGCTTGTGAAGTAGAGGAGATGCCAAATTGCCACTCAGATTGTGAAGCTTAATGGATGTGAATAGTGATGTTCTAGGTTGTTTCTTTTCCCTCCCATTGTGCACTAGTGAAGTGACTTGCATGCAAGTGTCTGTGTCAGCTCACAGATTCAAGGAACCCACAAAAAAAACATCTTCATCCCTGGGATGCCTCATGAATCTGTGTTCCTACAGGAGGGCACTTTTATTCCCTCAAACAGGTCCTGTGATGCTTGGTCTGGGTACCCACCCCCGATTGTTACCAGTTTTTCTTGCCTTCATTGCTCTGCTGGGCTGGAGCCTTCAGCAGTTTGCACAATTAATTCCTATTTATCTCTTTGAAATGTGGATACTGTAAATGCACATGGATTTCCTCTGTTTCCGTATGTCTTCCATGTCCTCATCAAGACTTCTTTCTGATATGTGTAAACAGCCTGTGTTGCCTCATACTGCTGTGTGTCTGGTGTGTGGAGAAGCTGGGAAAGAGGACACGGTGGAAGAGGAGGAGAGCAAGTTTAATCTCATGCTAATGGAATGCTCCATTTGTAACGAAATCATACACCCAGGATGCCTTAAGGTGAGTACCAGGATGTGATACATGTTGGAAACAAAAACTGGATTAGTTATCACCTTAATGTAAAAGTGGCGTGAAGAAATTGGAAAGCTTTCATGTTTTCGTCTTTGGAAACTGAAGTGAGCAAAGAGCTGGTGTGAGAAGCAGAGTGTCAGCTGGGGCACACGCAGCCCTGACCGGCAGGCGGGGATCCTCCGATGTACCAGCATCCCCTGAACGCAGAGACTCTTGCGTTGGACAGCCTCCGAAATGAGTGTGCATGCAAATGTCTTGGGGGTTTTTGGATTGTTTTTCTTTCCTTCTCCTTTTTGTGTCTTGTTTAAGGAAGTGAGGGGTTCCGGTGGGCACAGGAAGCTTGAGAGGACAGGGAAATCTGCCTGTACATTTGGATGACAATCCCTGTATCGACAGCTCCTTCGTGTGTCCCGCAGAGTACAAACAAGTGGTTTGCTGTTCGTGTTTGTCCAGGCACGGCTGCGCCGAGCAGCTGGCTTTAAAGATGTTATGAGCAAATGCTGCAGTAGGAAGACTGCAGCTCTGGAGAACAAACTGAGCGAGTTTCAGGCTGCAGGAGTGCTCACCCTTGGCTGACTTGAGTCCTGTGAGCAGCTATTTTCTTTGCTGGTAACAAAAGTGTCATTTTGGGCGTATAGTTGTGTATTAGCATTTAGAAGCCTCCTTTCTCCAGAGCTGGTTTGTTTGAGCTGATCAGCCATTTCCTGTTGCTGATTTGTTTATGGTTAAAGTGATTTGCCAAAGCAAATGTGTTCTGACACATCGTGCCCCAGAAAGCAGCTTTTGGCCCTTCTGGGATCTCTGGGAGGAGAGGTATGTTCTTAATGCAGGCCTGGGGTGATGCTCCCCTGGCTTTTTATTTCTCTTGTGCTGTACATAGCACTGCACCAAGCTATGTGCGTGTCATTTAGTAGGTAGCTGGCAAACCAGAACTGTGGCTGTCTCCCTGATTCATGAAATTGGTGCTCACAGCTCCTGCCACAGATGGCTCTGAAAGGGAGCTTGGCTTGCTTGGCTCTGCTTAAAACAAGGCCTCGGGGGCTGATGAAGCAAGGGAAGGAGCTGCTTGTTTTCAGAGGTACCTCAATTTTGGCTTGTAGCTGCTGCTTTGCTATTCCAGTCCTTCCTGAAAGTGCCCTGCACTCCCCCATCTCTCGTTTTGCAGTGTCAGTGACACTTCATGGCTGAGTCCAGCGGACACGACTGTTGTCTAGTGGCAGTTCAAGTCTGGTTTCCTCTCCCCATACCACATTTGGGACTAGTTGCACAGGATGTGGGTCAGATCTGTGAAATCAAGCAAATGCTGTTTGTTCTTTTATGCATGTGTGGTGTTCTGAGTGCTGTTTTGGTAACTAGGAACAATTTTGATTTGGGTGTTTCTGAAAGTTAAGCAATGGGAGATTTACAGTGTGCCTTGTGTGTCTTATTTTAATTCCTCAATGCTTCTGTTGAGCTGACGTGGTGGGGTGACTGGTACTGTTTATTTACTGAGACAAAAGGGCACTGGTAGGATTTGAGAATCATCTTGGAAGGCAAGATGAGACTATGCGCAGGGGAACAGCAAAAGGAAAATGGAGCCTCTTCCTTGGATCCCTCTCTGCTCTTTATTCCCCAGTTCCATGATTTTCTGCAAGATAAAAATCTGTTCCCATGTTGCTCAAGCCCTTGACGTGGGCATAAACCCAGAGGATGGAGCCCATAAATAGGCCTTGTGGGAAGCGCCTTTGAATGCAGACACAGCCCCAGGGCAGCCGCTTCGGCCGTCCACCAAGAGAAAGTCCCTTCCCGTCCTACAGGCCGTAGAGCGTGTGAACTGTTTGTCGTCTCCAGTCAAATGTCCAGCAAAGGTACTTCTGGGGGAGGCTGGAATAAACTGGATCAGTGAAGGGAGAGTGTCCTTTCCTGGCTTATTCCTACGTGGAGTGAATTCCCTCCAAGACACTTCTCCAAAGCATGTGGAGTAGTCTGGCACATGCAGTGGCTAATTTGTACTCCAGGGCAGGTTGTTCCTGGTTGGAAGTCCATCCTCTTCCAGCTTCCTGATTTGGCTGTACTGGTTTGTGGTGGCTTTTCCTCGTGAAAAACCAGTGTCAGAGGATGACCTCTTTGAGGAGATTAAGGGAGGCTCAGGTGCATCTGTGCTCTGACACACTTGCAGCCTTGAGGGGCTTCTGTGGGTGCCTCTTGCTGGGGGCGCTGGGTGCCAGAGCACGTTAGGTGCTTGCATTGGAACCGTGCTAAGGACAGCCAGGGTGTTTTGTATACTGAGAAAGGTCACGGGAGGCTTCTGACACACTTCTTTCCTTGAAAATACAATGCCAACACAAATTCTCGTTTTGCTGAAGAGTTTCTTATGAAAACGATCTTGGTGAGCATTTTGCAAGTGCAGCAGTTTTTCCAGAGGGAGGCAGTGAGATTTTTGGGGGCGTATTGCCTTTTGCTGTTACAGACAGCATTTGATTGAACCAATATTGATGAACTTTTCTTGCTACATCTCAGGTTGGTAGTAATGCTGGTTAGCACGTGTGAGTGCAGTGTCTGATGCTGTTTCCTTAAGGAGAAGGGGTTTGTTTTCCCCAGTAGGAGCCTGTTCTTTTTCAGCTTAGGTGGGTATAACGATAACGATGGAGAAGGTGAATATTTAGGTGCCTCATCAGAACAGCAGAAATACAAAGACCTTTTCCAGCGCAGCTGCACTGCTGCCCATAGCTTCAGCCCAGGTGTGTCTTGCTGTCTGTGTTGCTTCAGTCTTGGCACTGCCAGAATTCATGGCTCTCGCTCAGCAATGTCAGATCAGCATCCTGGGCTCTCCATGTTCCTTAACAAGAAGACTTCACAGTACCATAGTCTCATGTTTAGACTTTCTGAATGGCTGACCTCGTGCTGCAGGTACGTTTCTGAAGGTGCCTCACGCTGTGGCTCAGACACCCACCTGCTGTTTGGAGCAAACACTCAGAACTGGCTCCCACCCAGCCTGAAAGGCTTGGGACAGATTCAGTGGCAGGTCTGTGTGTGTCTAATTAGTTCTCTTACAGTTCCTCACATCTGTTTGGTTCCTTAAACTTCACAGAAGGGACAGAGCTGTAATGCTTTCCCTTCAGTAGCATTTGTTCTATATTCAGTGCGGGAAATAACTTGTTCCCAGCTTGGGCTTGGGCCAGGAATTGTTCCCCTGGGGCAGAGATGTATACAACAGCTCCTGGAGTATCTTACACCTACCATGGGAAAGAAGGTTCAAAGGCGTACAGTTGTGATAAAACCAGTATTTAAATCCTGCCCACTTCATTTACTCATTTATTAACTCCAGAAGGCTTGCTGAGGGAGGCTGACATGTCATCACTCTTGCTAGATGGTGAAACTAGAATGGCTGCTGTCTGGCTGGAGGACTTGAGGAAGCCGTTCCTCTCAAACCAAGGCTTTGCTCCTGCACGGTGCATTTTTGCTGAGCTGGGAGGAGAGGAGGAAATCTTTCAGAAACGTGAAAAATCTGCAGATTTCTACCCCTGTTTCAGCAGCAGGCTCCTGCTGCTGTGCTGCTGGTGCTAGTGCCCAGCTATTTGTCTAGGCAGGAGCATGTTTTTGTTGTCTATAATAGTAATAAATAAATTCCCTCACACACCCAAGGCTTTTTTGTGAATATATAACAAAACCCTTGAATGTGAATGTGGCATCAGTGAGCGTATGAGTGTGTGTGGAGGGTGTTTTTAGCTTAGATCTACTTTTTATCCTCAGTTTCATTCACAGAAATGTCTTTCAGAAACACTTGTCTCCTGCTTGGAAAGTAACACGGGGTCTTACATGGAAATTCAGAAACCAGCAGCTTTTCAACTGCATAGGGCAGGACTGTGCTTTTATCGTAGCGTAACACCACTGAGTGTGCGTCTTCCTTTTCAAAAAGCAAGATGTCTCAGTCTCTCAGAGGTAGTGAAGTAGTAAGCATTTCTCTTCCGTACATGAACTGGGTAACTGGGGGTGTGAGAAACCTTAGAAATGCCTTCATGTGTCCAGTCTTCTGAATGGAAGTGCCTGTTCTCCAGCTGACTTGGCAACCGCTGTTGTTATTGGCACATGGGCTTGAGGGCTGGAGGCATGGGACTGCTAGTTCTGATCCATAAAGGAAAGTATTTTAAGGAACACTTGATTACAGTGCAGGGTGCTTTGCTTCTAAAAATGCCGAACAGTATTAATGTATGTGAGAATGTGTGTATGGGAAAAATCCTTTCCTATTAAAAGATCAGACTGTGCCTCGCTCTGGGGGGTACGGGGGGGACTGAGCTTTGCGAATCAGTGGTGTGGGAGGATGTTTGGCGATGGTGTGATTACAGTCCTGGGTTTTGGGGGGGTTGCTTTGGGTTGTTGGGGTGATTTTTATTATTTTGGGGGTTTTCTGCAAGAACAGAATGTGCCCTGTATTAACAGGGATTGTCATTGACCTTCATAAAAAGCCCAGACCTGAACCCTTTGTCAAATACCAGTATGGCCAGCATGCTGTCCCTCCTCATGGACACCATCAGAAGGGTAATTGTGCAGGACAGAGGGCTTGCTCAGCACCAGCAGGATGGTGCAGCATCTGCAGTGACCTGGGTTTCTTTTCTGCAGCCGTTGGGAGGGCAGCAGTCGGTCGGAGGGAATCAGGAGCTGTACAGAACGCTTCCAAACGATCTGCCCATAGGATTCTGCAGCACGATTGTGAACTGAGTTGTGCCTCTCTTTCGCCAGGTGAAGGAATCGGATGGTGTGGTTAACGATGAGCTGCCGAACTGCTGGGAGTGTCCAAAGTGCAACCATGCAGGGAAAACTGGAAAAGTGAGTTTAATGGGAATAAGTGGTGCTGGAATGAGATACAAAATCTCAAGCATTCCCTCTGGCTTGTAGGTATAATTTTGCCCAATACCAGCTTTTGATTTTGTGCTTAATTCAGTTGAGTTGAAGGAATAAGCCCGTGGCTTTCTGTTCTTTAATTTTTATATTCTTGTTCCATGTACCAACAGTTCACCCAGAAGCCGGGGAATATTTAGGTTAGTTCTGTGAGCTGCTGCCTGTTAATTTCTAAGATGAAAACACTTGAAAAAATAACAAACCAAAAAACCCCAAACAAAATCCAGAAGCGATTATGCAAAACCTGAAGTGTCTGTTGGAATTAGCGAAATATTGTTTCTTTGCAAACGGAGATAGACACTTGCAAGCGTGTAGTTACAAAAATAACTTTATGAAAGTTGAAACTACTTTAACTCCTCGCTAATGGTTTTGTCTGTTACAAAGTGATCACCCCACCAGTGCTGGAGGCAGCTTAGATAAAGAGCTGAGAAAGGCATAAGATATAAAGTTTGTTTGTGTTTTGTGTCTCTTTGGCGTACAAGCAAAAGCGCGGACCAGGATTCAAATACGCATCAAATCTCCCAGGCTCGTTGCTGAAGGAACAGAAAATGAACCGAGACAATAAGGAAGTAACAGATGCTGCGAAACGGAAAGGGGATTGTGAAGAAACTCCCAGGCGGAAATCGGAGGAACATTCCAAGAAGACTCAAGTTGACTCAATCCTGAGGAGAAAGTCAGACGAAGTGCATCTGTGGAGGAAAAGGAAATTTGAGAAACCCCAGGAACCCACTATGAGAAAGCGGGTATGACAAAACACCCTTCGTGTGCTTACACAGATGCGCGTGGGCTGGTTGGGGCTGATGTCTCTTGCCTTCTGGCTTGTAGCTCCTCTTGAAATCCCAGGTTGTTACAAAAGAAACTGCGATGTTTTACCTTCCTTTCTGAAAACTGCTAGTCTGACAGGACAGTAGTTTGAGCAGTGACACTTGGGTTGATGTTCAGAGGCCGAAAACACTGGGCTATGGCTGTTGTTTTATTCAAAATACTGGAAAACCCACTTTAAGTGCAAAGTCTTTACAAGACGCTTGGAGTAGGAACAAGGTGAAAATCCATTTTTAATGGAAACTCTTTCATCTCTATCCACATGGTGGCGCATGGCAGCTTGTTTTGTGGCTGATTCAGGGATGTACAGTACTCGTAACCCATCAGAGGACCTTTAGAAATGACACCTTCTGTAGCCTGCAGAGAGGAGGAGCTGCTCACAACAGCGGTGTAGACAGCTTTTCCCTGAATTTGACAGTCAGAGCTGCTGTGCCAGGCAGGGACACCGAATTGTCAGGCGGATTGCAAAATACGATACTTGGGATATAGAGAAATGCTGGTTTGCAGAGGTAGAAATGAGGATCTAGATTTAATGTGTCTCACGAGTAAATGGCTGATGGCTTTGAAATCAGAATCAGTGGCTGGTTTCGTGTTGCATGTGTAGCTCGCGAGGAGCAGCAGGCAGCCCGCCCTGCGAGGCTTGACGGTGGGAACGCTACAGTACGGTAAATGCAGGGATTGGGGTTGCTTTGGTGGAGCGAGAGAGCAAAATTCCCTGTACCAGTTCATGCATATCTGCTTCCTGGCTATGCTTTCCTTTCCCCATCCCTTTGGACTCACTGCAGTGTTTATGGATGGCTTGAGTTGCTCCATGAAAGCCCCCAGTGCGCGAGGAAGGCACTGTGGATCACCAAACCTTCATCAGACAGCACAACAAATGTCGTGTTTTGGGGTTTTTACTTTTCTTTCTTCCAACAGCTAAAACTGGGAAAAGAAGACAAACTCTTCAGGAAGAAGGTACTTTGCCTTTTTAATAGATGTGTTCTCAATCCCTTTTAATCCCTTCTCCTCATGTGAGCTGAATGGTGAGCCAGTTTCTCTACCAGTCATGTCCATGTGTCACTGCCGGCACTTTTATTATCCCATTTACATCTTGAAATTGCAGATATCTCTCTCGTGGAAACCTTTACACTCCGGGATAGTCTAGCTGCAGTGTCTGGCTTTACGTTTTCTGTTCTGGTGTCTCATATTAAAATACAGCAGCAAGTTGTGTTTTGATGAACCAGGGAATAAAATTTTGTTTCTGTACCAATGTTTTGCTCTTCCTGTGTGGTCGAATCGTGCCCCTGCCACACAGCCCCTCCCCGTACCACAGCACATCCCTGGAGCCCCCTGCGGACACCCCAGGGAGCCAGGGATGACCTGGCACGCAAGTATTGGTAACCTCTCACAGGCTGGCACGATAACAGAACTCTGATACCTGTAACCTAAGCGCTCTGTGTGAAGGATGCTGCGAGCTGCCAGCAGTCTGATGTTGTAATTTTTTTTTATTCTGACCTGTCATTAACTTACTGTGACCTCCCCCTTTATAACACGCTAATTTAAAGACAAGGCGATCAGCTTTCTCCGCTGCGTGCCGCAGTCTGAGGCATCGGAGCGCACGCACAGACTTGATCCAATTAGTTTATTGCAAAAGCACAGACCTTCTGATAGAACGAGTGTGTTCGCAGCAGTTCACCTTTTCTTGCCAGTCCAGAACTCTTCTTGTTAGAGCTACTTCACTTGTAACAGTTGACGCTTCTTTCTTGCTCTTAGTGATCAGAGTAGACTTGAAGTCTTCCCCGGTGTTAGTTTGTACGTCCCGTACGCTTCTGTCTGGTGTGCATCAGAAGGAGGTTTGATTCAGGCGAGCAGGCGAAGTGCAGTTTGCTGTTCCAAACAGTGACCGGGGCAGGGAAGAAGGTGCCAGCTGACCCCTGTCAGCCTGCGTGGGGCGTTGGAGATCGTGTCAGCCTGAGGGCTCGTCAGGCTGGCGGCGTGTCAGACCTGTCACTCAGACTCCCTGTTCTGCATGCACCAGAGATGGGGGAAGCTGGAGAAGACCAACAAGGTTTAGTAGGATGTAACGGAGCAGCTAAAGCGTCGTTAAACGAGGCCGTGAGGGCCACAGCAGCGCAGCCCCAAGTGCCAGTCGGGGATGGCGGTTCAGGAGGTTGCCGAAATGGACCTTTTGGCCGTTGGGCGTGAATGCATGTCAGCCTGTGTTTAAAGTGGGTGCCCAGTGAATGTGTCCCAAGCCTGGTTTCTTCTGGCCTGCTGGGGAAGAAGGGGTCTCTGGTACCCTGCTTATCTTCTGTGTATAAGTTGTCCGCTGTGTAATGAGTGAGGCCCTTAAATCTGCAGGATTGTGCATGGTGAATAAATGTACGTATTGGTCTCTTGGAGTCTGGGGAGCCAATAGCTGGACTCCTCACCCATGATGGCACTTGAACTGGATACCTTTGGCCAGTGAATGTACCCTTGTGCTCGGATGGGTGGGGCCCAGTGCTGGCAGGCAGCCCGGCCCCCCGGGCAGGGCTGCCTGTGTGGAGCATCAGCATGTGAAGTATTGCTGAGTATGTTCTTGCTCCAATAATCAGCTCTTGTCTCTTCCTTTTCAGCGGCGATCATGGAAGGCTCCAGATGACCGAACTGCCGTGATCAAACCCCTGCGGCGCCTCAAGCAGGAGCCAGAGGATGACCTGCCAGAAGCACCTCCCAGGTCCAAGGATAGTGACCAGTCACGGTCCAGCTCGCCCACTGCAGGTCCCAGCACGGAGGGTGCCGAGCCCAGGGACAAGAAGAAGTTCAAGATGAGGAGGAAAAGGCGGCTTCCCAATAAGGAACTGAGCAAGGAGCTCAGCAAGGAGCTTAACCAGGAGATCCAAAAAACCGAGAACAGCCTTGCCAATGAGAATCACCAACCCATCAAATCTGAACCCGAGAGCGAGAACGAGGAACCTAAGCGTGCTTTGAACAACAGCGAGAGACTCCATAGGTTCAGCAAAGGGTTAAACGGGACTCCCCGGGAGCTGAGGCACCAGCTCATCCCCAGCCTGCGAAGCACACCTCGGGGAATAACCCGGCCACCACCTTCGCTCTCTCCTCCCAAATGCATTCAGATGGAACGGCACGTTATCCGGCCGCCTCCCATCAGCCCCCCTCCGGACTCGCTCCCCCTGGATGACGGGGCAGCCCACGTGATGCAGAGGGAAGTCTGGATGGCTGTCTTTAGCTACCTCAGTCATAGAGACTTGTGCATCTGTATGAGAGTTTGCAAGACCTGGAACAGATGGTAAGGAGGGCGGGAAACTGAGCTAGGTCTGCTTGTAGAGGGATGGACTCGAACAGGAAGTGGGTGACGGAGGCACTGATGACTCCTAGAAGAGGTGTGCGGGTTGTCACTGAAGCTCTGCTGAGCCCGAGGAGAAGGGGTGACCAGCAGTGCCCGGAGAAGTAGCCTGTCTTCTGGTGCTTTCTCAGAAACGGCGGTTCCCAGTATTTCTGCTGGGGATCGTGTGTGTGTGTGTGTGTCTGTCGGCCTCGGCGTCAGCCTGGCAGGGCTGTAGCGTCCCAGAGCAGCCTGTTCTGTAGTTGGACACCACAATGTTCTTGCCTGCTGGAACAGCCAGTCTAGGTCATGCTAAGGCTTGGTGTCATCCTGCCCCCAGGACTTGCTGACTGCTAATGCAGTCGTTTGTTCAGTTCAGCTATTAAGTATCTATTGAGATACAGGGAAGATCTCCCTGTGCCCTCCGTGTTCTCCTCAGAAGGTCCATGCTGATTGTTTCCCTGTAGAGGGTACATGGAGAGCGATCCTGTTCGTGGTGTTCTGTACCAGCAGAGCTGCCGGAGGAACCCTTTGTTAGCTGTGTTTGCTCACACCGTGTCTGTGCGGTCCTCGGGGTACCGGGGTGCAAGCAGTGACTCAGTTGGTGGCCGCAGGGCAGCGGGAAGCATTACTGGGCAGACTTACACGTTTCACTGAACGTGCAGTAAAGTCTTGTGGTGGCTGTCAGCTCGGGTTCAGCTGTAACGTGCACA